TCACCATCATGAGACCGATTGGCCAACATGACTGCCATTTTAAATCACAGCAGCCAATGTGGTGATGTGTAGAGCTCTTCGCTTGGTGGCCATTTTGTTTGATGTATATTTTGCATTTGTAGGTAAAGTGTTAGGGACCCACTTTTGTGCACCCCTCCTTGTTATGCCCCTTCTTTCTCACTTTCTTTTTTTCTTTCTGTATATTGTCTGCTGACTTCTTCATATATTTTCTTCCTTCTCCTGTCAGACTTGTTTTGTGTAGATCAGAGGTGGGGAACAATGGCCCCTTTATGACTTGTGGACTTCAACTCCTAGAATTCCTGAGCCAGCCATGAAAAGGCCATTGTTCCCCATCCCTGATATAGATATAGACCTGCATCCAGTAGCAAGTATCACACAGCTTCCAATGGGGATAGTAAAAATGATTCTGCAGAAGAGATGAGACTTTTGAAATACTTGAAAAGAGAAATAATCGTCATAAAGCTGCTAACTCTCATACACAGAATGAAAAGCATGGGGAAATCCTTTGTAAACTCTGATAGGAGGAGGGAAACATAAAGCAACTGGGTTGCCCAGCATCATGACTCTGGGTTTCCCTCTAAAGTTGTTACTGCTGGGTTCACCTCAGTAGAACTTGTTTTTCCAGCCCCCCTTTTTTGCACACTCTAGTAACCTGGTTTTAACAACATGACCACCCCTCCTCCATTAATCTTTGACATCACATTGAAAAAATAAGGCCCTTTGAATTGTGCAGTATTCATGTGCCAAATTTGTGTGACGCCTTTTGCCTTTTATATGATGCTTGTTATTAAGTGATATGTCAGGAACAGCAAGTTTCTAGTATAAATTTATTTTTCAGTGGAGTGGGGCCTTGTGTTTTTGGGGGGGAGGGGGATTTATTATTGACATCCAGGCTCCAAGTAGACACAGAGCACTTTTGCGGTCTGTATGCTGTGGAGTAGCTTTTTTTAATTCCCCACTCCTGTAAATATGGTCTTTACTACATGCACTAAGATAGGGAATTTCTTGCATTTTATCATGGTTCAGTCCCTGTTGTGTTCATTCTGTCACCTACAATCCTCACCACTTTCTGATGTGATGCTCCTTAACTTTACAAACAAGCAGAGAAAGAGAGCAAACGGTTGGAGATTGTATATTGTAAGACAAGAGGAGCACTTGGTGATTTTTTTATAAAAAAAAGATTTGTTTTTAAGATGTGCTTTTTTATTATTTTGGTCTGAATCTGGTATTTGGAATTAATGTGTTATTCGTGCACAACTTTTCCTGCAATTTGCCTCACTGAAGACTATCGACTGAGTCCTAATAGCATTTTTGTTGAAGAGAATTTTGTAGAACATGTTTCTAATAAATTATGTTGCACACCTAAATTTAAATTATTTTTGGATGAAGTAAATGGGCATAAAATTATCTGCTGGACCACAGGACTCTACTGAATGAGCTCAAGTGCAACCCTAGATTCTGAAGGCTACTCAGAGTTTGACCTACCTGATCTTTGATCCATTTTCAAGGACTCACAGAAGTTTGTTACAGTTGGAGCGTGGTAGGTCTCTGCTGCTATCTCCTCCAATAATAAACTGCACGTTGCTGGAGGCTTGCTCATAGCAAACCATTGGCAATATTTTTCCATAGCATCCCATTGAAGTATTCTTCTTAAGACTGGACTACTGCATACTTGGCCCCCAGGCTGTTTCTGGAAAATCAACTACTTATCGCAGCCTATCAAGCATTTGGACAGATCTTCTTTTTTACAGCTTTACCATCGTCCATAGATGTTGGCAGCAGTCCCTAATATAGAACTGATTACACGCACACAACCAGAAGTCTGTAACTTTGACAAACTGTCAGGCAGCCGTCACACAGGACTTGGCTATATTTATTTATTGGGCTTTATTCTGGCCATAATAAATTACAAACCAAGCAAAGCGTTCTGATGTTTTAGTTTTTCCAGTGTGTGAAACGTTGCAGGTATGTGGTGTACAGCTTCATTCTTCTTGTTAAGTCTGAAAAACAGGTTTTATGGTCTTTCTGCTCTTCAAAACTGAATGAAGACCAACAAGAATGAGCCATGTACCACAAGGATCCTTCTCCACCATACCATCTAAGCACACAACACTGTCTTAAACTGGCTGGCGTCTGGTTTTTTTTTCCCCCCTGTTGTTTTGAATGGTAAGCCAGTTTGAATGTTCAGTTGGGACAGAATGGCAATACATGTATTAAATCCAGGTTTTAAAAAAGAGTTTAAAATATTGTTCTCTAATAGGAAAAGGCTGATCAACAAGAACACTGTCACCCATTGGAAATGGAAATGGGAGTGTGTCATCTGGCCACTCCTTTCAATGGGTCTAGGTTCACTAGATGTGGTAGGAAATTGTGCCTGCACATATACTGCAGCATCAGTATGGTTCAACTGACACTACCATACTCCTGCTATACTGTGAGAATGGCTTAAAAATGATCGTTTTAAGACTGATCGTGTATCCGATGCCATTTTGTCCTGTGGAAACCAAGCAACAACACACCAGTGCCACCACGGCCTTTCCCTGCAGCAGCCTTGAAGCTTAACAATCTGAAGAACCACAGAATGTGCTCTTGTCAGATCAACTTCTGCTGCATCACCTACAAGCTGTTGCAATGGGATGTACAAAAGGGAATGCTCTCTAGTTGCACAGATTCCAAGACCAGCTTTAGCACAAGAATGCCTGAAAACTGACTGCTGCAGAACACAGATCAAATCCTTGGTTCTTGCCAAATTTAGGAGGGGAAATGGCATCTCTTGTTTGGCAATTTCATAGAAAACCAAAGGAGAGAGATCTTAAGAACCATGGCCGCCAGACCTTCCAGCTAAGAAGCCCCAGCAGGCTGCCTGATCCTGGAAGAAAAATAAATAAATCCTCATATTTATCTAAACAGGGAGACCATCAGTATCTGTTCTGTCCACTTCCATTTTTCTATTTCTGCTTTCGGTAATTCAAGTTCAGCCATTTTTGGGGAGGTATATTTGTAGCCTTGAAAATAATTTATTAGAAACCTTTATAATAGCAAGAAAGCTCAGATCAAAATTGGACATTCCAAGACTTTCTGTGCCATTTGTTATCAAAACTTTTTGAAAATGGTGCAGAGAACCTTGTTATGGGGGTCATTGTAAGAATGAATTCTTGTGAATATTCTGAATTGTTGGCTCAGTTTTGTTTCGTTTTGTTGTTGTTTCAATTACCAACTATTTATGTCGCCAGATCCTAAAGCCAAACTAAAGAGAAAAAAAGTCACCAAATTCAGAAGTGCCATTAAAAATGAACTCTGAATGTCATATCAAGTTGCATCTATAGCTGGGACAGAAAGACAAGTGTTGAATATGGTTCACACTTGATTTTTAAAAAATAAAGTTAAACAAAACCTCATTTTTTTCAATGTACTGTGTGAAAACTTTTTGGAACAGAGTAGTGTGCTATGTCTGTAGTGGACGACATCCCTGGCCCTTTCCCTCAATTTCTGATGATGTTTTCTTGACTAATCGTTGTTACTGTACTTTTAATCATGAGTAGTTGGTGCTTCTTCATAGCACAAGCTTAACAATCAACTACTGAAGAACAGTCTTAAAAGCTAAATGTCTGCATGATGTTACACCCGTTGTACCTACTGAACAACTTTGTATGTAAATGTACAGGAATAAAAGACGTTGCTCCATTACTGCTGCACTCAGTCTTCATCTGTCTTGTTGGGATTGTCCCATTTTGCGCTATTGCAGATGCTGCTTTGCCCAAAGTTGCTTTCCACAGGGACCTCCCCACCCCTTGCGCCTTTCCAAGAATAGCTCCCTTTTTTTCTATTCAGGACAGAATCAGGGTGACTGAATGAAGCTGAGCATTTACTGGCCAGATGCCCCTCCTGACACCCTTGTGGAGTTGCAGCAAGTATTTTGTCTTTATGCTCTTAGGAGAGAAATATCTGCCACTACCTAGGATTAAACTCTCAATCTTCCAAGTGCAAGGTAAGCATCTTCATCATTAGGCCACCATGCCAACACCTTGCCTTGCTAAGAATGCCCTCTTAAAATTCAGGAGCTAAAGGATTATGTAAATAAGAAGGAAAACGGCAATTAAAGCTTTCAATAACTTTAATATAGCTATTATACTTCCAGAGAAAACTACTAAAAGCCAAAAAAAAAAAAGTCAGGTCTGATTTAGAGCAACTGATTGACAGATTGAGGCAAAGAATACTGGGTTAAATAGACTTTTGCCATTATCTAACAGGGTAGATTTGAATTTCTTAAGTATAGATTTTAGAGATTTGCAAAAGAAAAAAACAATACAAACTCGTCCTGCGATATTACATCCTGTCCCCAAACATTAAACCGCCTCTAGGAATTATGCAGCAATTATGTAAAAAATAGTTAAACTTGCTCTCTCAGTTGCAATGAACAGCCAATATGATCTAAGGACAATTTCCTTTACAAGCCCTTCACTGAAATTTCTATATACCACTATAAACCAGGAATTCTTGACCAGTGGTGGGATTCGAAACATTTTACTACCAGTTCTGTGGGCGTGGTGTGGCTTGGTGGGTGTGGCAGGGAAAGGATATGTAAAATCCCCATTTCTTCTGGGGAAAGGTTGCTCCACAATCCCATTCCTTCCCCACCCCAACCTGCTTTCCAGCTCTGTTCTCCTGTACGGGGCAACAAAAGAAGACCCGGCCAATCAGCTGCGATTCAGGAGGCAGACAATATGGGGGCAGGGCCAGTCAGAAGTGATATTTGCCAGTTCTCCAAACTCAAAATTTCTGCTACTGGTTCTCCAGAATTGGTCAGAACCTGCTGAATACCACACATGATAGGGACCCAGAGGCCCCTTGACAGTCTGGATAGATTTTAGGGATCCATGGACCTGGATTGGCAAAACATTCTAACTTTATTTCACTAAGTTTAACTGAAATGAATTTGTCTTGTTATTGATTTAATGGATAAATCACAAAGCACATACAGTAAATATTACATTTTGGTTTATTTTAATTTGATAGCACAAGTGGTTTTCTTTGTAATGCAATCGACATCTGGCTATTTTACTTTATACATTGCAATCCATTTTTTCTGAGAAGAAGCTGTGACTCCTTTTCTGCCTCATCTCAGAGATGTTCTAGATGCTTCTCCCTTTCTTGAAAAAGATGTAAACCTGCTCACCACTGGTGCTCACGTAATGGGAAAGTAGTCAATCTAATTGCTAGGGAAGCTGATAAGACTAGACTTATTAAGTTTTAAGTCTTTTTCCCTTGACTTTGTTTGCTAGGCATATATTCTGCAATGAATCCATTTCAAATCTGATACTTTTCACTGAACAGATTTATTTTATCTTTGATCGAATGCCACAGAACTAGATCACATATGATTGGAAAATTCAAAACAGATCTATGTTGTGTCAAGCAAAAACAGCAGGTGGCAATATCTGTCAAATGTTGTAGCATTTATTCCAGTTCTATATTCTCCCAACAGGAATTTCTGAAGAGCCGAATACTTCTTTCCTTTTCATTATATATGTAGATTCATTCATTAGCTCAAAAAGAAACTCAATTAAACTGAATGCATTTTGCCATCCCAAATATATAACTCAGTGACATTTTTTTTAAAAAAATCTTTGGGAAAAAAATATATAAACAAAAAAATGTGACTATCCGGAACTAAAATTTGTCTGGGAAAGTTGCCATTTCTTCCTTGATACGATTTTCTACAAGTAGTATGAAGCCACTGTCAGTATTTTGAATGTTATAACTGACAAAAATCTGTTTTTTAGTCTTGCTGGCTAAAACATAAACAAAGCACAGGTCATATCAATCTTTGAAGGAAGGCACAGCAGAAATCAAATTCTATCAAGTGTTTCCCACAGTTCCAAGCCCACAGTTGCTGACAAAAAACGGGTGAGTTTGGGAGGTAGTTGCTTTGCATTTGGGATAAATTCTCCACATAACGCTTTGGGAGTTCTTCGGGATAAAAAGCTTACTTTAAACAGGGATTAAATTGCTTTCAATATCTCAAGGGAATATCTGAAAATTTCTTTGAGCATGTTTATTATTGTTGTTTTAAATCAGGGGTGAGGAATTATGGCCCTTTTATGATTTGTGAACTTCAACTCCCAGAATTCCTGAGCCAACCATGATTTCTGGGAGTTAAAGTCCACAGGTCATAAAAGGGCTATAGTTCCTTACCCCTGATTTAAAACAATAATAATAATAAACATGATCAAATATTACTGAAAGCTCACAAGGTTTATGATGATCCCATATAATTTGAACCATTAATTTTGTTTTAATTTTTGTATCATGGTGCCCAGAACATACAAAGGCTGTTAATCATCTATGTGGTCATAGATTTTTTTTTTCTTCCATTTCCCTGTGTTAAGTTTTAAAAAATCATGCATATACATACCTAGTCTTTGAGCTAAAGAATTAGATGTATTGTCAGAAGCATTGCCAAAAAGCAAGGTAGATGCTGGAATGGAGTCCTGGAACAAAGAAAAAAAATTAGGACCAATTCTGTGCACTCATACATACACAGATCCTTTGTTCAGAGGGGAAAAATGTTGTAATCAAGGAATTTATCCCAGTGTTGATGCCACTGAAGATACAATTTTTGCTTCATCCTTTTACTTAATATTTCTTTTCTAAAAATCTCGCTCCAAAGATGTATGAAAATAACAAAAGTGCTAAAATGAAAGATCACAAAACAGAAACCTCATATCTAAATAGATTTAATGCTTTTAATTTAAAAGCATTGGGAGGTGTAACTAGGATAAATAAAATTAAACTTTGAGCATATACAGTACATACTCATAATTATCTTTCAGGTTTTGCAGTATTATGTAGAAGTGCTTTCACAGTGCTACACATTATGTTTCTACCAACATAACAAACTCTTACAGAACTTGCTCAACAATCATTCGAAGTAGCTGAGCAAAAGTTCCTACAATTGTACCCTAAAGTTGCAACAATTGTAGTAGGCCCTGCAGTCACATGACTGAGATATGGGCACTTGGCAAACCATTGCTACTTCTGATTTGGTTGCCAAGTGCCTCACAACCATGTGATCGCCATTTGCAATCTCTCCTTCTGGCTATCCCAGAGTCATTGGGGAAGCCAGCAGGGAAAGTCTCTCTATTTTGGGATAGTACATCTCACTTGTATTTTGTCAGGGAGGATTTTTAGCCTCACAGTGGAAAGGAAAGGATATCTGTCCACTCTGGGTCTGAAAATTCTCTCTCCGAAATCCAATTCTGTCATCAAACTCCAACTCTGATCAGACAGATTCGCCTCTCTCTCCACTCGGGGGCTGAAAATGCTCCCTGTCACACTGTTTCTAAGGCACTCCACACTCTTTAGGTGGGGCTACATCTGCTTAATGCCCCATAAAATTGCTTAATGATAACAACCAAGAGTGCCAGGATTGCAGCTGTTAAGCAAAACAGTCCCGTGACATCTCACTTAATGACCCATCACTCAATGACTAAGATTCCAGTCCCAATTGTGTTTGTAAATCAAAGGACCGCCTGTGCAATGAAGTGTAGAGTAGCTTGGTTTTTATACAGAACTGTTTTTTGCTTTTTTCAACAAACATTCAACACACTATTTTCTACCCACTACTATTCCCCCCACATTTTTTGTTTATAGTTATATTATATCATGAGGCACAAAAATATCTGCCTGCCCTGGTTTTTCACTACTTTTGTATAACCTGAAAATCTTTGCACTATTTTCCTTGTCAAACAAACCACCTTGAGTTTTGATACGTTAACCACACGTTCCTCACTGCACTCACTCACTCACTCGTTAATATTCTCTGCAATCATTCAGATTCTGTCAAATATTCTAGGGGGCGTGCATAAGCGCACCAACGTGCCTACTGTCCCTGTCCTATTGTTTCTTTTATTTTTCTTTTATTTTTCTTATATGTACCTATTTCATGTATTCATAACTATGTATACACTTATACTTATTATCTTGTAAACAATTGACAAATCAAATAAATAAATAATAAATACAAGGTATCATCTGCATTCAAATGTGCACATACATTTATATCCTTTACCAATACACTTTTGCCATCTATACGTGTGCGCCATGGGAATGAGGGATGTAAACCTTATGTACGTGCCTACAGGGTCGCAATGCAAACACATACAAAAGGTCATTATGGCATCATTCATCATTTTAGCACTATCATAATTAGCAGCTGATGCCTATGCCATTATAACAACAGGCATTCCTTACACATTTATCCATGAATACTTTTATTCCTAGGTATAATTTACTTCCATCGTGCGTATATGCCAACAATCTTTAGAAGATAAAAAAAACTACAAAACAGCAGCCAAATGGGCAACAACAAAAAACCTGTACAAAAAGTACTGTGAAATCATAAGCACCAATTGTAGATAATTAATTTGTACATAAAATGTTGTATACAGCCTTTTTTGACACCAATCCCCTACTCAAGGCAGAAGCCTTATACCACCCCAGCCAAGTGGTTGTCCAGTCTATTTTTGAAAACCTCCAATAATGGAACACCCATAGCCCCAAGTGTCAAGCTATTCTACTGACTGTTCTGTCCAGAAAATTTTTCTTTTTTCTAGGTTGGATCTATCTCTAATAAGCTTCTACCTGTTACTTCTTGTCCTGTCATCGGGTGCTTTGGAGCAGGGGTCTCCAAGCTTGGCAACTTTAAACTTGGCAGACTTCAACTCCCAGAATTCCCCAGCCAGCAAAAAGTTGAAGTTCACCAGGCTTAAAGTTGCCAAGGTTGGAGACCCCTGCTTTGGAGAATCCCCTCTTCTCTGAGACAGCCCCCCAAGTCCTGGTCAGAGTGTTATCATGTGCCCTTAACCTTTCTCTTCGATAGGTTAGACGTACCTAACTCAACTGTTTCCTGGTATAAAATGAACTTAGCCTGAAAATTAGGATAGCAACAGATTCACTGATCTTAATTGATCAGCATGCCAACCTATCAAGCTATGACTCCACCGAGATGAGAAAAAAAATGTGTCGTGCATCCCCAAATGAAACAGAACCATAATGCAGATGTAGCTCTGAGTGCCGTACAAACCCGCAACTTAGCCTCAATAAGGATTTCTGAGGCTGTCAAAGCAAACTATCTCAGTGATCAATCCCAGGGTCTCATCCTGAAGGGAAAAATAGAAAAATCCCGTTATTTATTTTGGTGCTGGAAACTTGGAAAACAGACTTCCTGAAGAATCTGACTGGGTTCCATTCACATAAACTGGGAGCTGCATTAGAGGAAAAAAATCAGTGCAAGAGGCAGGAAGAGGAGATGCTAAGGTGTACCTCCCTAGACTCGAGCACCAGGCCCAGTTCAAGTCCTTTTCTTAGCAAGAATTTGGAAGCGGGCTGACTCTGCTCACCTAAACAAAAATGATCCCAAGGGGTGGGGATGATGTGTCTCTCCTCACGACCCACTTGGATTCTTTAAAGAATAATAGGGGTTTCTTATAGGAGAAGTTTAAGGCCGCAATGTCCTCTCCTCTACTCTCTAAACCTTGGCGAAATCCTGGGAATCAACCTCTGGGGATTGAGATACCTATTCAGATACATTTAGTAAAATTACAACAGCAGTGAAAAAAAGTGACTTATGGCTGTTTTTTCACACTTAACTCCATGGTCACATGATCTACATTCAGATGCTTGACAACCGACTCATATTTATGACGGTCGCAGTCATAGGATCATTCCCTTTTGCAACCTCCTGGACAAGCAAAATCAATGAAGTCAGATTCACTTTGAACAACACTTTTTGTGTTGTAATGGAACAACTGCAGTGATTCACTGCCTTAACCAACATGGCAAGAAAAGTCCTAAAAACCTCGCTTAACTCATTTCAGGGAACTAATTTGGGGGGGAGGGGGGGCTCAATTGTGGTCGTAAGTGAAGGACTACCTGCACCCACAGGGCTGAGCTGCAGCAGGAGTTCGCCTCCTCATAGCCCGGTTAAAACAAAAAAACCCCAAAAGACCCCGGCTTGCATCTGCGGAGAAAATGGTTGCTTAGCTGTGTCGGGAGCCAACCGGCAGCTACCCCATTTTGCAATACGATACGCTTCGTCTGCCACTTCCATTACCACCTTCCCCCCCCAGGTTGTAACCCCCGAGGGGGGCAAAAGGTCCGGAACTCACGCGGGGGGTGCACATGGCCACGGCCAGGTTGCTGAGCTGGGGGCCGTCCCCGACCCAAAGGAAGAGCGAGTCCTGCAGGCGCATGGCGTGGAAGTGCACCAGCTGCTCCGCTAAACGGCCGTGGAAATTGTGCAGCGAGATTCCCCCTTCCTCAGCCGGCGGGGCGGCAGCCGAAATCCGCTCGGCGGCGTCTCCTTTTGCCGGCTCCTGCGCTTCCTCCATCGCCGCCACAGGCAACGGTAGTAGGCCAAAGCAAGCGATCCCCGATCGCGCCGGCACTTCCCTGGTTGTCAGTAGGCCAGAAGCGGGGCGTGGCCCTCGCTTACTTTTTGTCTTTTTTTCAAGCGGCGTCTGAACGCCTTTATTTTCTCTTCCCACCCCCCACCCCCACCCCCCTTTTTAAATACACGCTGAACCTTAAAGGAATGGTTAGATTGGATTAAATTCACGCGTCGCTGGCCATAACCACAGTTTGGGCCACCTTCTTGTGCAAATTTAGCTTAAGAAACAGCAGTTGCTTCAAAAGAGTTTTGGCGTTTAAATTACACACCTGTCCATTATTCCTGTACAAGGAATCTATGATTAATTTCTTTAACCCAATGCTCTGGAAAATTGGGGTCCTTAAAATGACAAGCAAGCAAATCATAGAAGAAACGGATAACAAGAAAAGGATAAGAACTCAGCTGCTCAAATGATCTTCATTTGAGTCAAGGGTTCCAAATGTCTGACAAAAGGACACCTTTTTCTCTTCATGTCCTCTGTCTTGCAGGCAATGTCTTAAAATCAAACATTGTCCAGCCTTTTGAATATCTTGTTGCTTGTTGTTGGACAAAATCATATTGACTACTCAGACAAGCAAAAATAAAGATGCTCCATTCAGTCAGCAAAAAACCAATCCCTCGTGGTGACTACAGTTCAGATTGCAAACTCCTTGCTAAATTATAATTAAAAGAAATCAATAGAATCATCAGCCCCCATAAAATACAATTTCAGCAATATTCCATATTATTGTGCAATGGAGAAAAGGATTTTAGCTTCAATGGGTTAGGTTTGTTAAAAAGAATGCCTGAAGAATTTGGGCTTGACATTTGTGTTATCTTGAAGATAAAGCAAATAAAATACCCAAAATGTAAAACAGAAAATAAGGCAAAATAATTATGTTGATATATTGAAAATATCTAATAAAAGCAGAATATAAAAGGCAATAGAATCAGACAGTATTTTGCCTCAGTAAATCTTTTCAGGGAAGAAGAAAAAGAAACCAAGAGTTCTATAAATAATGCAAAGAACAAGCAAATGAGTAGTAAGAGATTAAAATTAGAAAAATCCCCAGAAATATATTTAGACAAAGATGAGCGTGACAAAAGACAAAAAAGGCAAAGAGTTATTGGAGAGAAAAAAAAAAGCATAGTGCAAATATATAGAATAATTGCATAAATAATCTCCCAATCACTGATATATACAAGATTTGGTCACTGAACTACAGCCAAACAGGCTGCAAAGATAATCAAAAGAGTCCTATAAAATATTACTAATAACAAAGTTGTAGGTACTGAATAATTGCCAGCTGTATTTTTATAATCCTACAAGAGGGCGATGTAGTTAAAGTGCTACCTGTGGTTTGGAAGCAAGTATAGAAAACAGAGCAGTGGCCAAGGGATGGTAAAAGATCAGTTTATAGGACAGTGCTAAATAATGTTCATAATATCATGCTTATTTCATCTGCTAGTAAGCTAATGTTTTTGCAATCCAGATTTCAATAATGCATGGAATGAGAACTGCCAGATGTACAAGATGGGTTCAAAACCGACAGAGGGAACTGAGATCATATTCTTAACATATGGTGCCTAGAAAAGAAAAGGGAGTTCCAAAAAAATGTCTAATTTGCTTTATGAATTATATTAAGGCTTTTGATTATGTGTAGACCATAGCAGATTGTAGGTAGTCTTTAAAAACATAAATATTCCAGTCACATTTTAAAAGAATTAGTAGCAAGACCAGGAAGCCAAAATTAGAATGATTATACAGGTAGTCCTCAACTTACAACAGTGACCATTTACTGACCATTTGAAGTTACAACGGTACTGAAAAAAGTGACTTATTACCATTGCCCTTATGACCATTGCACAATCTCCATTTCCCATGATGAAAATTCAAACACTTGGCAACTGACTCATATTTACGATGGTTGCAGTGTCCCTGGGTAATGTGATCACCTTTTGCAACCGTCTGTCAAGCAAAGTCAATGTCAATAAATGCCAAAACCTGGTTTTCAGGGAGGGAAAGAGCTAGTATTAATCAATATATAATGCTGAATCTTAACGTTCCTAAATTCTTACAAAAAGCATTCCCTGTTAATCTGCCAAACTCAGGACAACCCAATGCAAACTGTGTGTGCTGCTGCCTACATTTTTGTTAATAATGACTTCGACTTTCATTTGTTAAAAAAACTGCAACATCATTGCTGCTTTGAATGATCACAGCATAAATGTCAGTCTTACACCCAAGATCCAGAGATGTCATAGCTCATCTGTCCACTAGATGGAGACATTTTATTATTCCTATCTGGAGGCTCTACTCCTTACACCATTAAACATATACTCTCAGAATTCCTAGGGAGGAGCTGTTCTGGCTGCCTTCCTCCCACTCGGACTAAACTTTGCTGGCTTTTGTTCCTCTGGAATGTAACCCTGCCCTCCTGGAAATCCAGACTACATTCCTCCACAGTGGAAACTGCTTCGTCCATATATTGTCTCATTCATAAAACAGAACAATGGAGCTAAAAGATCTTGTTCAATCTTACTGCTAATGCAGGGAATTCTTTACAACTCATCAAGCCTTTTTCTTCTTATTTACAAATAGAAATAGTAGATTTCAGTGGTGGTATTCAGCCAGTTCACACCGGTTCACGCAAACCGGTAGCAAGGCATGGGTCACCGAACCAGTAGTAAGTTCTGGCTGGCCATGCCCCCGACCCAGTCACCCAGTCACCGCTGGCTCATTTGCCCCACGCACCCAATGCTTGCTCACCCTGCCCGCCTGACGCTCACCCCTTAAGGTATTTTCCCCCCTCCCAACAATCAGCTGTTCATACGATCAACTATGCCGGGATTCCTCTTGCTGAGGCCCAGAAGGGGCACAGCCCGGCCCCTCCATTTTTTGCTTTCCTTAGCCCCAGGGGAGCCTTCTGGAAGAAAAAACGCCCTCCAGGAGGCTTGCCTGGGGCTCAGAAGGGCCCATAATGGAGCAAGGGGGGTACTGCTTGCCCCTCCTATGCTCCATTTTTTTTCTTCCTGAGCTCCAGGGGAGCCTTCTGGGAGCAAAAACACCGCCCCAGGAGGCTTGCTTGAGGACCAGAAGGCCCCAAAAATGGATGGAGGCTGGCTGCAAAAAGCAAACAAAAAAAAAAACTGCCACGCCCACCGTCACTTTGCCATACCACCAAGCCATGCCCACAGAACCGGTAGTAAATTTTTTTGAATCCCACCACTGTTAGACTTATATTACCATCCCATAGTGCTTTATAGCACTCTCTGGGCAGTTTACAATGTCAGCATATCGTCCCCCCTAGCAATCTGGCTCCTCATTTTACCAATCTGAGAAGGGTGGAAGGCTGAGTCAACACTGAGCCCCCTCAGGATCAAACTCCCGGTTGTGGGAAGAGTTTGCCTGAAATACTACATTCTTTTTTTAAAAAAATAAATTTTTATTGGTTTTTAAGACAAACATAGACAGACAAAACATAAAAACGTCAAGCCTTCTTCCATATATATACATACAGTGTGTCGGTTGGTTTACAAATTGTTTTGTGCTTCCATTTCGTAGCCTTCAATTACAATTACATTGTATATATTCTCATATTTTCAATCAAATATTAAATACATTAATATCATTGTTAATCATTTGACTATAGTTTTATTCATTCATGTTTTATGAAATAATCCATATTTTACTTAATTTGTTTTATGACAGTTCATATTATCATCTCAAATCTATCCTACAATCATTTTGTAGATATAATAAGAAAATAATACACCTTTATATATTTATTATTTTCTAAGAGTCTACATATTTCATTACCATGTTTTATTGTCTAACCATTGATAGAATAGATCCCAGATTTTATAAAATTGTTTATCATCTTGTTCTCTGATTTCAAATGTCAATCTACTCATTTCAGCACATTCCAATATTTTCTTAATGATTTCCTCCTGTAATGGTATTTTATCATTTTTCCAGTTTTTGGCAAATACAATCCTAGCCACTGTTTACAATCAGGTATTTCAATTCTTTACTATATATTTCAGGCAAAACTCCCAATAAAAATATCTCTGGTTTCAAATCTATATGCTTTTTTGTCATTTTTTCCAACCATATGTGATTTTAGTACAATATTTTTTGGCATCCGCACAAGTCCACCACATATGGTAATATGAGCCTGGTATCTGATGACATTTCCAACATTTTTCGGATTTGTTCTTGAACATTCTTGCTATTCTTGTTGGGGGAAAATGCCACCTGTAAAACATCTTATACAAACTTTCTTTATATGCTGTTGACATTGTCATCTTATAATTTTGAGACCACAATTTTTGCCATTTCTCTAGACCAATCCCATATCCAAAATTCCCCCAAGCAATCATTGTTTCTTTAACTTGTTCTTCTTCTAGTTTAATTTCTAATAAATATCCATACAATTTTTTAATCACCTTTTCATCAGTACCTGTCAAAATCTTATCTAAATCAGTCAATTTATCATAGAAGCCTTCTGTTTTAGAATCTTTGTCATACCTTGAATGTATTTGCGCATATGAAAACCAATTCATCTTTATATCTTGTTCCTCTAATTTTTGCATGGATTTAAGTTCACCCTTTTCATTCAATATTTCACCATATCTAACTGTTTGTTCTTTTTTATATATTATAGGATAAGAAAATGCTTCAATAATCAATAGCCAGACTGGAATTTTCAAATAACATTGCCTTTTAGTCTTCTCCCAATTTAACCACAGAGACTCCCGTATATAATGTCTTCTTAAAATACCACTGTGTTTTAGTTCCTTTATACCATAGAAAAACATGCCACCCCAACAACAGATCATGACCTTCTAATGTCAACAATCTAGTATTTCTTTTTTTTTTCATTTCATATAAATTTTATTGAATTTACAATTAAAAAAATAACATAACAACATTACATAAGAAACAGAGAGAGAAAAAGAAGAAAGAAAGAAGAGAAAGAGAGAGGAGAAAA